GAGAGAGAGAGAGAGAGAGAGAGAGAGAGAGAGAGAGAGAGAGAGAGGGAGAGAGGGAGAGGGAGAGGGAGAGGGAGAGAGAGAGAGGGAGAGAGAGAGAGAGAGAGAGAGAGAGAGAGGGAGAGAAGAAGAAGGAGGAGGAGAAGGAGGAGGAGGAGGAGGAGAAGGAGGAGGAGAAGGCCAAGGCCAGCAAAGAACACATGGAGAGAGAGAGGGTACAGGAATGGGGACAGAAGGGACAGAGTGGGTAAGAGAAGAGAGCATGGAGAGGGCAAACAGTCCATTTTATAGTTGCGAGGTAACTGTGGGGCAGAGCCTAGAAGGAATGCTAACACAGAGAGATATGAAAAATGATAGGATATGTGTATGAGAGATGACATATATGTAGCATTTGGTTCTTTTGAGGTTAAATTGTTTTACTTAAAAGAATAATTGCCAGTTCCTTCTATATTTCTGTAAATGATGTTATTTCAGAATCACAAAAACTATCTTTAACTGTTATTTAGTTCCTTCTTTGTTGTCTTTGGGTCTCTACCAACCCCCTTGTGGCTTAGAGGTCGTTTAAAACTATCTTACCAGGCTAGGGACTTAGTTCAATTCATATAACGCAGAAAGCTCTGAGTTTGAGCCACAACACTGCATGAAACTGAGCATGTGGTATACATCTGTAATCCTAGCAGTCAGGAGGTTGGGGCAAGAGGCTATGGAGTTCAAGGTTATTTGTGGCTAGACACCTGGTCTCAAAAAGATATCCCATTAGTTAGCAATTTGTGTATTTCTACAGTTTACCCAAGATGAAAGTATACTGTTAAAATAACTGTGGTAACTTTTATTTTCTCATTTTAACTTTAGCATTCATCATTATTTATATTTTTGAATGTATTGTTACATGTTTATTTTTTCCTCCATCTTTGTATTTATTTGATCGTGAAAAGTGCTTATTAATCATGCTAACTATTTTTTCTTGGATTCCTATCTTTGAAAGCATGCTTCATAAGGGACAATCAGGAGGTACTGGCATGTAATAACCAGCCATATCTCACCAAGAGTGAATGTTTAAGAGCCAAGTGCTGTTTTTCATCATCTGGGAACAAAATCAGATGCCACACCCCACTAAGGGATAGTAAGTAGATCCTGTCTCATTTATTTGCTTTAAATACTGGGGGAAAAACAAGTAGAAAAAATTTAAGTAAGTAGGTTGCAAGATTTCAAGTATATCTTTAGATTTCCCAGCTTAACCCCTTACTCAAGGCCAACAACATTACTAAAAATTCTGAAGTAATTCCCTCAAAGTTTCTGTTTCATCCCTAGATAATAACTAACCATTCAGAATTAATCTAACCTGTTCATTTGGTTCAGTCACTCTGTTTTTTTTTTCAAAGCATCTAAGCTCTTGTATGAGGTGTGACCTTCTTCCTCAGAGAAAGTACTATCAAGGTGTAAAAAAGAGTATAGAAGGAGCCATTTGATGACCAACTAGGAAGCAGAGGTGGAGAATGCAGGGAGAAGGCCTTGGCAAAATGTTTTTCTTCTACTTGGGCCCTGCCTCTAATTTTTACTAACCCCCAACGCCGTTAGTAATCTATAAATGTAGCAAGTGATTAAATCATTAATTGCAGGAGAACTTTCAGGATCTAATTTGTTTGGAGATTTCCTTAAAGATACACTCAGTAATATGTGTCACTTAATCTTTCTGGTTTTTCGGAAGCAGGTCAGTTACCAGTCAACACTGTCATAGGGAGTATTTTTTTCTCATTCACTGTAAATTATCATTGATGATATACCTATATCAAAAGAGAGATTAACAGGAGGAAAAACGTCACAAATGTATTTGATCATAATTTATGTGACACTGAGCCATTTTGAGTTAAGAGTTGATGATGCAAGGCAACATTGAATATACTTAGATTCTATGATGCATGGTCACATGTGGAAATCGATTGATAAAAAGAGATTTAACTGGGGAGATGTGACCAAACTCTTAACATCATCTGTGCATAGCATTCCTTCCTCTCAGGCATCTGCCTCAGGGCCTTTTTGAAATAGAAGTCCCATGACCTACTAAGTCAGGGATTTCTTTCTTTCTCTCTCTTCCTGTCTGTCGTTTTTGGTTTTTCTTTGCTTACTTGCTTTTGTTTTTTAAAATGTGGTGTCATGACACTCAAGCTTGTCTCAGGTTTGCTGTGTAGTTGCGGATAACATGGAACTTCTCATTTTCCTATCTCTTAACCTCAGATGTTCAAGTTACAGTCCTGTGCCACAGCAGCCAGTTGGTCAAAGGATTTCTTAATCTCCAAGATTGAATTTAGGGGAAGATCAGAGTAACAGTTTTGAGCTCATGGCTGGCTTTAGGGAAAAGGACTGCTTTCTCCGACCTGTCCCCTCTTTGAGGGGAGTGAGGAGTAGGAGATATGAAAGCAGGAGAAAATCAAAATGAAATTTGACATTTTTTTTCCTGACTCCTAGTATGACTTTGAACTTTCTTTGTAGCAGATGATGACCTTGAATTTGCAGTGAGATTATAAGTATGCACTACTACACTTAGTTTAAGCCATGGTGCTAAAGGTCACACCTTGGGTTTCATGCATACTAAGCAAGCACTCTACCAGCTTCTGGGTCTCCAAGGCTACATGGGAGGCCTTTCCTCTGGGCTATCACTTCTTGCTTAGTCCTGATGATACCAGTTTAGCATGCCTCAGTTTAACCTTTTATTCTCAGATTCTCTATCTATGTAAAAATTTTCCCATGTATCTTGTGTTCGTCAGCTTGGCATGTAGTAGTAGATGTGATTGTTTCCTGCCTATATTAGCTTTACTTCGTTCTGTCTCTTTTCAAATAATCCAACATAAAATTACCCTCTTAAGATTTTTGATTTTTGATTTAAGGTTTTTATTTCTGAAGTTAAAGAAATAAACCATCTTTTTTTCTTGCCTTAATTTGCTAGTTGGGACATACTATCTGTTGGTCCAGTGATGGATGGATTTGATGTGATAGAGCACTAAGAAATAATAACAGGATTCATGAAAAACAATATCTTAGTTTTATATAAGTCCCTATTCAATTTAGAGCTCTTCGTCGTACATCTAGTATTAAAGATGAAAGCTAAAAGCCTGATCATGAGGATAGTACTGCAGTTTTAATGTGTCATGTAGTACTAGGAATTCATTTATCAGTTTACTGTTTCTATAATGAGTGAAGAAACAGTTGCCTCTTTTAGTGGAAAAAATTGAGCCATGACTTACAATTCCCCAATCACATTAGAATGCATTTCCTAGAGCATATGAGGCTAAAGTATGCTTATTCACCTGCAAATTTTTGATTCCATGTTTAATTGAGTGCTTTGTAATTTGGAAGTAAACACTGAAGAAGCCATTTCTTTCTCAAGTTAACTATTCATAGATTGATTTGTTCTTCAGATGCTGTAGGATGCAGAACATTTGGCCATAGAACAAGTACACTTAGGGCCATAGAAAGAATCCAGTATTATGAATTGTAAGTTGCCAAAGAAAGTAGCCTGATTACTTTGTTAAGATACTGTTGGGTCACATTTTAAAAGTAGCATTTAGTTGCATTTCAAGAACTCCTACCTGAAGCATAACAAGAGTCACATTTTATTTTACTTTATTAACTTATAGTTTTTGAAATACTTCAGATTTTCATCTCTTGCCTAGTCATAAAAGTAACAGGATATAATTAAACCAACAGAGCCTACACAGATGCTCCGGGTGTTTGGAGTTGTTGTGATCATCATGGTAATCCTGGGATTTCTGCCTGTGTATTGCTGTTCTTTTTGCCGGAGGAGGTAGGCAAACATAAACTGTTTTTTACTAACTAACTGTATGTGGATATTTATTCCAGTGCTTTAAATATGATGGGATTATGGTTGGGTTTCTTTTGTTGTTTTGAGAAAACCTAAAAATAAAATTACCAAATTTTTCTTTGGTTATTTTTTCCCCACAAGTACAAGATGTACACTTTAATAACCTTTGTTTATTTCATCATAAAACAAAATCCTAACTGGAAAGAAAAAGAGCTCTGCAAGCTGGAGATGTGTAGAGTTGGAGTAGTTATTAACTGCAAATGAAAAGGATCCCTGGAAATGTTTGGATGCCTTTGCTCTTCTGTCTTTGGTCATAAAACATTGGTCTGTCTTTACAAGAAGTCATGCCAGATGCTTTTCATAGACTTATACAAAACCCCATTGGAAAAATAGCACTTGATGTTTTCAGATTTGTTTGTTTTTTATAAATCTTCACCCCTGCAGCAGAATGGGTGTGAAGGTACATAGCACAGCCAGAATGAGTATGAAAGTGTGAGGCAGGGGAATATAGCTTAACACCATAGTCTTTCCTTTGCATGGGGCTCAAATGTTCAATTCTCAGCACTGGAAAAAATGCTAGGGTGTTGGAAGCATAGTATTTAGGGAAATCACATATTCAGATTCAAGTACAGAGTCACCAGAGGCATGACTGATAACAAGTGTCTCCTATGTCCCTAGCCTTTTCCCTTTTTATCTCCAGTCAAGGTCTCATTGAGTTGTCCAGTCTGGCTTTGAATTTTCTGCATAGGTCAGGTTGGCCTTTACTTTCAGTTTTTCTTTCTCAGCCTCTGCATAGCTGGGATGATAGGCCTGTACCCTCTCCCACATATACATTCACACACAGTTCCATTTGAAAGTGAAATCTTTAGAAAGGAAAAGAAGCCAGACACAATTGTTTAAATCACAGGAACTAAAAGCCAAGTATGTATCTGCAGTAACATGATCTGGGTCTCTGTTGAAAGAATCCTTCTGCCCTTTTAGTATTGGAAGGTACCCTTGTTCTCATTTTTATCACATTCTGTCTTACATATGAGCCAGTAGAGTGTTTCTTAGGAAGAAAACTGTTGTTAACACCTCTCTCAGTCTTTAGTTGCAAACCAAAACAAGCAAGATTTTGATATTCTCTTGGCTCTTAAATTTGAGCAGTATTTTTTGTTTATATACCACCTAAATAGCTAACAATTGGCAATAATTGGAGCAATGAAAAATGAGAAGAGGTGGGAGAAGTGAAAGCAGTGTTGAGGACTATCATCATTCTCCAGAACCAAATAAATGCACAGCTGAGCATATTAATTCAGTACTTGCTTTGCTATGTAGAGTGTACAGAGATGTTGAAGACATGCCTTTTATAAATATAAAATATCTGTTTATTTATGTGTGTGTGTGCGCACACACACACGGGGGCCAAGATGGCACCAAAAGCCCTCTGCCTTAACTCTCTGCTTATTCCCTTAAGGCGTTATCTCTGAAATTGGGGTTCATGCTTTTTTGGCTAGCCTGGAAACCAAGGAGCCCCATAAATCTTCCTGTCTCTGCCCACCTCAGAGCTGATGTTACAAATATTTTGAGGGACACAATGGCTTATTATGTGGGTGTTGACATAGGAACTCCAGTCCTCAGGATTTTAGACAAAACACAGAATTAAAGTAAGTGAGAATAGAAGGAGAATGTCTGTGGAGGGGTGCCACTTGAACTCAGTTCTGAAGAAAAGACAAGATTTGAATGGGGAAGGAAGAATTCTTTCCATGCAGAAGGAGATCTCCTTAGTATAGGTTCTTGAACTGCCTATTGTCACTTTTAAGCAGATGATATTGAATTTTGTCCTTGGAATAATTGGTACTGAGTCTCCTGTTTACTTCTAGACTTGAAGTCAGATTTAATATAATCCAAGTACTTAGAAACTCAAGCCTGCTTGAACTAGTTGCAAAAGGGAAGACAGAACAGAAGTGAAAAGCTTTCTAAGAATTTGCTGCTAAATAGTTTAATTAAACTTGCATATATGATGTGTTTTGAAATTCACTGCACACTCAAGGTTGTGTAACGACTATTTTTAGCCTCATTAATAGGGATCAGAAGCTTCACTAGGTTTAAGTGCCACTGATAGGCTTAAAAATGACTTATCTGAAGAGGAAGGAAAAGACAAAGTGGATGAGGACAGAGAGAAACAGGAGGAGAGCTCTAAAGGTAGCAGGGGTAGAAGGGTGGGCTGCAGTGTTGGGGAGGGGTGAGCAGAGGATACTTGAATCACAACCATTAGATTAAGTGACAATGACATTATGAAGTAACAAATTCACTTTCTAATTTTGATCTGTCTTTAGTTTAAATTTATATGCAAGTGCTGTTTCTGTTAGACAGTGTATGACACTTGAGGATGTACCTAACCTTGGTAAGGTGAAGTTTCAAATATAATACCATGCCAGGTAAATTCAGATGAAGTACATTTTTGTATTTTTCTTCATGCTGGATTAAATTTGTAATTTCACATTAAAGATTTCAGAACTTAGTATGAAAATGACATTTTCTTTTCCTGACAACTAATAAATAGTTTTCTTTTAAAGACTATATCTGATAAGTGATATACAGAGTACACATCTCATGTAAATCCAGAATATATCTATGTTCAGACCAATGTGCTGTGTGATTCTCATATTCTAATGTGGTTCTCATTATGATTATAGTCTTACTGCCACTTATTTTCTTAGAATGATTTGTAAAGAACTGGGAATAAATATATCAAAGATTGATTTAAAATCATCATTGAATTAAGTAGAAAGGCACTTTTGTATTTAATCCCTGTGTTATGTTTCACTTTATCAAACAATATAATTACTAATGCTTTCTTGATAAGCCTTATGTAATAATTAGGCAACTATCGGAAGGTTTGGAGTTCTTAGCATTATATTCATATAAATTCAGAAGAAGAAATTAAATCTGTACATTTTAAAAGGATGACTTTTCTGTAGGAACGTTGATAAAATATGTCATATGGCAATGTGGATGAAATGAAACTCTTGTAGCACTATAGGATAGAAACTGTACAAAGTCAGGTCTTTTGCAGGGTGTTCAGGATAAAGTGTTCTGAAACAATAATATAACCTCATTATATGAAGATTGCAAGCATAAGATGTTCCTATCACAAGGAATCCCAAAGCATTGCTTTGAGAATTCTGGAGTAGTAGATACTATTATAAAGAACAGTCTGATAGTCTGTTGCCAAGAAACTAATAACATTTTTGAAGAATGCAGTGGCCTTTTCCCAAACTTCATGTTTTCTTACCTTTTGTTTACTTATCTCTATTGACTGCTTTGTTCTTAAAACTTTTCTCCCTTGGATTTCTTTTTATATTGTTTTCCTTCTGTTGCTGGGCATCAAACTCAGGGCCCTGTTCCTGCGAGGCTCGTTCTCTTTCACTGAACTACATCCCTAGTGCTCCTTTAGGGATGTCTCATTTCTTACTCTGTTAATCCTTCTCACTCTGCTTTTTTTTTTTAAACTGCTTATCTCCCCAATGTTCTTGTCATTTCTCAGAGATAATTAGAAATATGTAGTAGAACATTTAAAAATACCTGTGCTTTAATTCTTATTTTGCCACCAGTTTCATGGCTATTAAGCTTAAAAATTTTGTGTATTGATTTTCTTATGAAATACAGACTTGAGTTAGATGATTTCCAAGACTAAATTTAAGGTGCTAGAGTGGCAGTTATTTAGCTGACCAGTCCAGGTCAGTGATGGAAATCAGAGCAGCAACTCAATGAAAGTCCTGGAGTCACTTTAGCAGGGCCTAAGGAAGAATGTTGGTTATTGGTGTGCTCCTCAGGCTCACTCAGCTTGCTTTTTAGACCACCCACGACCACCTGATGACCACCCATGGCAGGACTACCCACATTGAGATGGGCTATCCTACATCAGTCATTTATGTATGTATGTATGTATTTATTTATTTATTTATTTTTATTCATTTTAAAAATTATTTTTATATTTTTATAGTACAGTGTTATCCACTCCCAGTCTGCCCTCCCATAGCTCCTCATTCTATTCCTCCTCCCCCCGTCTCTAAGATGATGTCTCTCCCCCTGCCAGGCCTCCCTACTCCCTTGGGCCTCAAGTCTCTTGAGGGTTAGGTGCATCTTCTCACACTGAGTCCAGACCAGGCAGTCCTCTGCTGTATGTGTGTTGGGAGCCTCAGATCAGCTGTATGGTTAGTGGCTCAGTGTCTGAGAGATCTCAGGGGTCCTGGTTAATTGAGACTGCTGGTCTTCCTATGGATCACCCACCTCCTCAGGTTCTTCTAGCCTTTCCCTAATTCAACCCCAATTCTCTGACTTCAGTCCATTGGTCGGGTGTAAGTATTTGTGTCTCAGTCAGCTGCTTGTTGGGCCTCTAGAAGGACAGCCATGCTAGGCTCCTGTAGGCAAGCACATCATAGCATCAGTAATACTGTCCAGTCTTGGAGCCCCTCCTTGAGATGGATCCCAAGTAGATGAGGTCGCTGGACCTCCTTTCCCTCAAGGCTCTTCTCCATTTATGTCCCTGCAGTATTTTTTAGACAGGAACAATAATGGGTCAGAGTTTTTGACTGTGGGATGGCCACCCCATCCCTCCACTTGATGCCTCCATCCCATCCCCACTCTCCCTCCTCCCTTTTGCCTCTATGATTGTGCTCCTCTTTCTACTCACCTACCCCCACCTCACTACTCTAGCATCACCCTATGCTGGGTCAACAAACCTCCACAGGACCAAGGACCTCCCTTCCCACTGCTGTCAGATAAGACCATCCTCTGCTACATATTTATTTGGAACCATGGATCCCACCATGTATACTCTTTGGTTGGTGGTTTAGTTTCTGGGAGCACTTGGACGTCCAGTTTGTTGATATTGTTCTTCCTATGGGGTTGCAATCCCCTTCAGCTCCTTCAGTCCTTCCCCTAGCACTTCCATTAGGGTCCCTGCTTCTTGAGTTCTTTATATATTTTGGATATTA